GGAACCAAAAATTAAGAATCTAAATACACGGTTAGATTCGGCATATCAAAGAACCCCAATAATTCAATTTTTGATGAAATCAAACAAATTTAAATTTTGGACCCTTTGGACCTCAATGTGGACCAATTTAAAAACGGGGCCAAAATCCAAAAACTTAATACACAGTTAGATTCAGCATATTAAAGAACCCCAAGAATTCAAGAACAAAACCCCATTGAAATTGATCAAGAAATAAGCAATTTATAGGAAGTATCTTCTTTTGCACAATACTGTGCAATTGAATATTTCTTGCTATTGGGCAATACTGTACAATTGACAATTTCTTGCTATTGCGCAATATTGTGCTATTGGATATTTCTTGCTATTGCGCAATACTGTGCAATTGAAGATTTCTTCCTATTGCGCAATACTGTGCAATTGAAGATTTCTTGCTATTGCGCAATACTGTACAATTGACAATTTCTTGCTATTGCGCAATATTGTGCTATTGGATATTTCTTGCTATTGCGCAATACTGTGCAATTGAAGATTTCTTCCTATTGCGCAATACTGTGCAATTGAAGATTTCTTGCTATTGTGCAATACTGTGCAATTGAAAATTTCTTGCTATTGCACAATACTTATTATATAATAATTTACACATCCTGTTTGGTGTGTATCTCCTACCATATAATTATTATTTGCTTTTAAATATAAATCAGAAATAACCAACTTAAAATGGAAAATTTTAAAAGAAAAAAAAAAAATCCCCCCCCCCAAATTTTTTGAACCCCCTTATGATTCATCACCCCCAAACTCAATCCCAGCCTTCCCTTTGTGGTATGGTAACTTGCAGTACAATTTCAGAGAGATCCATACACTTGAACACAAGTAATTGTCTGGAACTAGAAAAATGCTTATTTTTTGCCCCTTTTTGGCCCCCAATTCCTAAATGTTTCAAGCAATTACCCCCAAACTCAATTCCAGCTTTCCCTTTGTGATATGGAACCTTGTAGTACAATTTCAGAAATATCCAAACACTTACACACAAGTTATTGTCATGAAACTAGAAAAATGCTTGTTTTTTGCCCCTTTTTTGGCCCCTAATTCCTAAAATTTTGAGGCAATTACCCCCAAAATCAATTACAGCCTTCCCTTTGTGATATGGAACCTTGTGGTACAATGTCAGAGAGATCCATACACTTACACACAAGTTATTGTCTGGAAGTTACAAAAATGCTTATTTTTGGCCCCTTTTTGGCCCCTAATTCCTTAACTGTTGGTACCATAACCCCCAAAATCAATCCCAACCTTCCTTTCGTGGTATAGAACCTTATGGTAAAATTTCATGGAGATCCATTCACTTAAACTAAAGTTAGAGTGCGAAAACCAATGTGTCTTTGGACGACGCCGGACGCCGCCGACGACGACAACGACATCGACAACGTCATACAAATATACGAACAAAAATTTTTTAATTTTTGCGGTCGTATAAAAACTGCAAAATTGCCTTAAAATTACCAATTCAGGGGCAGCAATCCAACAACGGGTTGTCTGATTCATCTGAAAATTTCAGGGCAGATAGATCTTAACCTGATGAACATTTTTATCCATGTCAGATTTGCTCTAAATGCTTTAGTTTCAGAGATATAAGCCAAAAACTGCATTTTACCCCTATGTTCTATTTTTAGCCATGTCGGCCATGTTGGTTGGCAGGCGGGGTCATCGGACACATTTTTTAAACTAGATACCCTAATGATGATTGTGGCCAAGTTTGGTTAAATTTGGCCTTGTAGTTTCAGAGGAGAAGATTTTTGTAAAAGTTAACGGACGACGACGGCCGACGTACGACGGACGCCGAGTGATGAGAAAAGCTCACTTGGCCCTTTGGGCCAGGTGAGCAAAAAAACATTTATTAAATTAAAAGTAATTATACTTGTTAGAATCTGTTAAGTGTTTATTTTAACAAAATATCAAGGACTATTGATTCTTTGTGGAGTGATTTTTAATTTTGCAGGGGGAAACTGGTGCATTTATTGATTAAAAGATCTGTTCATATAACTGTGAAGAATTTCAAGCAGACTGAGAACAAGATGTTATTCAGAATTTCTAGTTGGAAGTCCTCAGCCATCTGATACAGCAATTTTAATTACAGAAAGGAAGAGAAGTTTACTTATGATCTATACATCCTTATCTAACACAAAGTTTATGGGATAGGTTCACTGTCAGACACATGTTTTACCCTGCATATCCATAGTTCAAAAGTTGTATTGGAGCTATCCATCATCATTTCATGGTTAAATGTTTAAGTCAACAATTGCTTCACCCATGAGAGGCTGTGATCATTCTAATGTGTTCTTGTAGTAATTTGGACTTTTCTATTGCCCAGTTGATATTACTTTTATATATATATATTGAAGAATAATTCATACATCTTTTTTATTTATCATCATAGTATTAAATGTTTAAATCCTATTGACAGTTTACAGTTGTCTATTTAATCTTTATTTTGTCTTAAAATACTGACTGCACTCATGATATTAATCTGCTCATGAATTATTCATGAACAGAGTTGGTTCATAAACATTCAAGAAATACCCTTAATAATTTCATGAACTTTAAATGAACAGTTCATGAACTACAAGTGGACAAACAATGTTCATGAATTAAATTACTGATGAACAGTTCATGAACACAGTAGTTCATGTGTTCGTGAATGATTCATGGACTGGTATTGTTCATGAACAATTTCATGAAACATTCATAAAAAATTCATGAACTGTAAATGAACAAGACATGAACTACAAATGGACAAGTATGTTTATGAACTCTTAGATTATGAATAATTCTTGAATAGAAAGAGTTCATGAACTGTTTTGTTCATGAACTTTTATGAACCAAAGAGTTCATGAACACTTTCTGTTCATGAATAGTTCATTATTCACTGGTTCATGAACATGCTTGTCCATTTGTAGTTCATGTCTTGTTCATTAACTGTTCATGAATCTTTTATGAACAATTAATGAATTGTGTTCATGAATCATTCATGAATCATTCATGAACATTCATGAACTATTCATCATCATTTCGCAGGGGATGTTTCCTAGGCATTGATTTGGTTGAAATCAGTACGATTATGTCAAATTTTGCAAAAATCTGTTTTTGACCTATTTGGGATGTAAAAATCAACGCTTCAGAATAAAATTTTGACAAAAATATTTGACTTCCTCACATATCTTTTCATTAACTTAAAACAATTTTTATCCTGAAACATTGAACTTAATAATCGGGGCCAAATATGGACCTTACCGAACCTACTCCTTTACACTCTCAATACAAATATTATAAGTCATCTCCCACACTACAGAATATAAAACCACATTATATAAAATATTACTAATTGGTGTACATGTACATGCATTTCTCATTTTTTACAAAAAAAAGTTACAATTACCAGTCAGGGATATAACTCTATAGGGTTATTACAGAAAAATAACATACATTTGTTATTGTGGACTAACAATCAAAGAACTGTGATAACATATGTATGTTACATGTTTCAAAGGGACAATATACATCATTAGTTTAGTTAAAATGTATACAAGTTCTATTGATATTACTATAGTCTTTAAGTATACTTAACTATAGAAAGATATAACAGTTCATAGTTTGCCAATTTTGCATAATACACCTATGTTATTACAGACAAAATATGCCTGTAATAACTAAAGGGTGTTATATATAATTATCACAGCTTCTCTATATCACTCCAAAGCATTTGCTCAGACATACATCATGCTTAATTACAATGTATTTTAATTTATTGTAAGAAATAATGACCAGAGCATGTAATGAGGTTCTGCGCAAGCTTCCCAGTAATTCCCAAGTGTCTCATATAATAAGTTACATTCCCTTAATAACTAAGCCTTGGTATTACAGCTAAGTTTATCCCTTAAAAGCCTCGTCTCATTGATTTACCATGGTTAATCAAAAATGTATTAATTTAATTAAAAAAACAGTTATCAAGGCTATGCATTCAGTTTCTGCGCAAAGTCTCAAGAGTTCCCTAGAGCCCACTATAAATTAAAATATTTTTGATTATTTTACAAATATCAAACATATGTTATTACAGATTTAGAAAATTTAAGGAATAAAGAGTAGACAACTCATGAAAGTATCTGTAATAACACACACAAGTTATTTTCTGTAATAACCCTATAGAGTTATATCTCTGACTGATTACTGGAACAAAAATATTATAGGTATTCCAGTATTGTGGTCACCAAGTTCAAATGATCCTTCTTTAATAGCTTCTTTAATTTGTGAGCAGCAACCCTCTATCAAGTAAAATCATGACAAAACATACAAGCCATGGAATATCGTATCAATTTATATATAGGTATATGCTGGATTGTTGCTACAGAGAAATTCTTAGGTTTTCATCAGTATTTGTTGAATTCTTAAGTGGAGCAGGCCTTTATTCAATACGATTTAATTATTTTTTTCATAAGTGGAGCAAGTTGGCAGACCTTTCTTCATTGCCATTGGGAATTAACTACTTTTCACTAGTGAGGCGAGTTGGTAGGCCTACAATCATCGGGGTTAGTCTTCATTTCATTTGGGACAATTTGGTAAACCCAAAATGGTCAAATTAATCAAGATGAAGCTCTTTTTCATAAGTGGGGGAGTTGGTTAACACAAATGGGGCGAGTTGGTTAACATGATTCATGAATGGGGCGAGTTGGTAGAAAGTTAGGATATATGTATTTTGACAATTGGGGAAGTCCTAGTCCTAATAAAGGAAGGCGTCACAGAAAAAAAAATAAAAATAGCCTTGCAAGGCGTCATAATTAATAAATTATTTGGACTAGGCAAGTAAAGACTTAAAGATTAGGTGTAAACAGTTACAGGCAATAAATAAATGTAGTGCAGCTGAACTATCTGACAGGCATAATTTAGACACTGAGGCTGAAGTTACGTTTCAGATATGGCAAGATATATCTAAGATATATTCCGTTTACCCTATTTGAAATAAACAACCTCCTTCTTGTGTTGTCATTGTTCGTTTGGATAAAGGTAGTAAACAGAACTACGACGGTATGTCATCAAATCTCCGTGTTTTAATCCATGATTGATCTCCCTTGAATAGTCGTGCGCTGCGAACCACGTGGGTGTCTCTTACTCGCCATTCATATTACGGTACGGATGTGAGAAGTCATAGCTCTTACAAAATCGTAATTTTTCACCACACCTCATGTTACAAGAAATGTTAAGAAGTTCACATTGATTATAAACAGATATTCTGTCTTTTTTATTTCGTTAACATTATCAATTTACAACGAGAATTGGTGTATATCTTAAGACAATTTGGAACCACGTGTTTTTAACTAGAAAAAGGGGGGAGTCAGACATAATAGTTATATTTAAAAAAAAACAACATAAGAGACGGGGCTGACATTCTAACACAATAACAAAACTCATTTTACTAATTAGCGACAAGAGAAATATAATATGAGACTTGTAAATGAATTAAGAAAACTGGTAAACATGTAGTGTCAAGAAAGCTAATATAGTTTATATACTATATAACTTCAATATAATATAAGTAAATATATAGAAAAAAAGAAAAAAGTCGGTAAATAACAGTTGATAATATTTGTTATATTTGTGAAGTTTCAGTGCTATTTTAAAAATGAACCAATTTCTGTTAATACACCTTATCGCTAATCCCGCTTGACCCGAGAATCAGTCCCGCTCGAACTTTTGACGTCATACAACAATCACTTTTCCATTGTGGCGTCAGATATTTTCTATTATGACGTCAAAATTTTACGGGAACTTGTGTGATGTCAAGTAATGGCGGACAAATAGCGATAAGGTGTATTGTAACAATTTAGGTTAAGTCTAATAGTAATAAGTAGTAGGTGTTTCTAATATGTAGTAGGTGTTTCGGATCATCTGAACAACCATTAATTTATTTTATCTGGCTCCCAACTCTTTTTCCCAAAACTGAAAGGTAAATTTAGGGTGTGATTGAATATAAAGCTCTTCCTTTAGCATGTCCCAAAGTCGTCTTTGTCTAATTTAATATGGTATTTGTAAAAGCACTTCTGTGACTGAATGATAAGAAAGGAATGGTTGGTTTATGACTGACTGTGAATGATAATAAAGAAATGGTTGGGTTATAGCTAGTGTGATCGCAGTTTCTATTGGTAAAAAGCAACCATAAACCTGCTATACATTTTTGTACATTTACAAACTTTCATTACAGTTTCTCACATATATATTTTTATTTCAATTATGTGATATAAAAGCACTTCTGTGACTTTAAATTATAAAATAGAGTTAAATTGGTTCTTATAATATAAGGCAAAAAAAAAAAAAATTGTGACATGATTTTGAGTCGTGCAGTCTATATTGCTGTGGTCTGAGTTGTCCATGGGCAGAGTTTACCTCTATTTTAAATAATTGAATTATTTCCCTTGGTTATTGGATGAATAAAAAATTGAGGCAAAGTTTTTATTTCATCTCACAAGTTGTGAGTTTCCTTAAAACAGCTGTCATATTCACGATTGCAAACATTGGGATGTATCAGGCAATTGTTTAAATTTATTGACAACTCGTTACTTCACTTTAAACATGAGTTCAGTTAATTTTTCTCTTTATGACAGATATAAAATTACTTCGGGTTGGTTGGCTAATGTGAACATACATTTTTTTTAGGGCCTTAAAAAAAAGGAAAAAGAGTTCAAAATGCTTCATGATGAGATCAATGATACAAAAAAAAATCCAGACCTACCCACCCTATTTTATTGGGTCATGCAACCAGAAATCCACCTAATTCATTTATATTTATAAATAGACAAAGCAAAATGTAATTCAGATCATATAAATTGAAGGATGGGATTAATAATTTAAAATAATGTAAATTTTTATCACAGAAACAGCAATTCTATCAATAAATGTGAAGTAAATTCAATTTATACTACATTGAACAACCGGATAAGCACTGACAATACTTTAAACCATAGCTTATTATAGTCCATGTTTACTTCTGTTTTTAGTCTGTCTTTAAACTGTAATTGGTACAATCCCTGAACCACAAGATGGTCAAGGAAGATAGATCAACATGGAAGTCCAACTACTTCTTGAAAATAGCTGTAAGTATTTAACTGTACAGTAATGGTGAAATGTCTTGGAAGAAAAATTAATGAGACTTATAATTCATAGGCTTAGAGTGCTTTATAAGCTAATCTCTTGAAGTTTTAATGCAAGATTATGAACCTTAAACGTCAACTTGAGCTTTGATTGTGAAGACATTGGAATACCTTCAATGACTATAGTTCAGATTTGTTTATCTCACAATTAAAAAAGATGTCAAGTTTCTTTGTCATTGAAATAACCATTACAGATATGGCTTCTGTATTTTTTCCAGTTCTCTGATGTGATAGGACACAAAATAAAAAAGTTAATATAAGTAAGACGAAACATAAACAATTCAAGAGTTATCATCCTTTGTAAAAATAAAAGTAAAAGAATGATGTGCACAATGCCATGCCAAAAAGTACATTTTATGGTACTTAGATTTAATGCCACATTTACATCTATGCATAATACCTTTCATTGTGTAAAATTTCTTGTAGCAGTGATCATCCTTAACACTTATGGTAGTTGAGATCTGGGATCACTAGGTATATGTTACCTGATTCAGGCCTCTACAATAACTTTTTTTTCAACTTGTCCAGTAGGACAAGTACATACCAAAACTTACTTGTCCGAATGAAATTGTAACTTGTCCAAAAAAAATCTTAATAATAACCTTTTTTGCATTTTAAGTTGATTGAATTAAAACAATAGAACAGAATTTTATTTTAACATATCTTTTGCAATACTTTTCAAAAATATGAGTCGAGAACAACTGAATCTAGTCATGTCACAGGACTTAGGTTCTAGTTTTCATCAATGCCAAAGTTTCATCAGACTCTGCACATGAGGCACCGTCTGATAGGATTACCAATGTACACTCATTGGATTTGTATCCTGGTTTTTTAAGTTGAAAAAAGTTTATTCAAATACAATCAATAAAAAAAAGAAGATGAGGTATGATTGCCAATGAGACAACTCTCTGCAAGAGATCAAATGACACAGAAATTAACAACTATAGGTCACCGTATTGCAAGTATTGTTTTTTTCTACATATGATCAAATATGGTTTTGTGAATTTTATGGTAAATAATTTCTTCATTTTTATTTAAAAAATATTTTTGTTAAAAAAATTACCGGTATGGTATTTATTATAAAGCAACAGAATAAGGTAGGAAAATGAGGTACTGATTTGTCTTGGTCCCGTAATGTCTCCTGCTTTACCAAACTGTCTATTAATTATGTCTATTAAATATGTCTCCTACGGTGCCAAACTAACTGTCTATTAAACTTGGAGCCGAATCGCTTCCGAGCTGGTGACGAACTGTCTTGTAAATTTACCTTATCTACAAAGCGCAGCGATATTCGGATCAGTAAGACTGGTTTCCGAGAACTGTTAAATAGTACTTGACAAAGAACCAGTTTTAAATTATTGATTGCAAGTAAACATGTCAAATTAATACTTGTTTTTATCTTCTTTTCTTGTTTTTGGTTTATAATTACTTTGTTCATCAAAGTTGGATTAAATTTATTTTCTGCAGAATAATTTTACTTGTCCGACCTTTTTTTCCTCTGGTATCGGACAAGCGTTATTGTCGAGCCCTGTGATTCTAGTTCTCTTTAGTCTAACCTATAGAAAGATTGTAAAACCAATTTTGTATATGTTTTTCTATGCTGTGATGAAATATCGTCCGTTCTGATAGAATAATTGTTGATGTTGAGTCGATCAAGATTCCGTCCAATTATTTCCAGATGATCAATCAATGTCCATTTTTTTAGCAGCTCTGAGCATGATTAACATATACATACTGGACAAATAAATGTTAAGTACCACTGCTATTTGATAATAAGGTTGTTACATTTTCACTATGGGCTACAGAGTCATCTTGCAAGAACTGTGCTTTAATTCTATTCTGATTGTTTTGACAAATAATGTTGATGTTAAAACTCTGTCCAATTTATTTCCAGATGATCTTAAAATAATTGTTTGCATTCCAAAGTAATGCATACATACCTGTTTCTGAAAAGAATGAAGTTTGAGTAGGAATTGATGAAAAGAGGGGGGGGTTATAAGAAAAGGAAAATAACAGAACAGGAGTGGGAAATCAATGTATTTAAAAGCTTTTATACTATTTCTTTATGCACTTAGAACAGTTTCTTTGCAGCATGGACATGATGGATTTGGGCTTTAGATTTCTGTATAAAATTATGCAAAATATTTTCTTTATTCATTAAATCTTTTGTTTAATTTTTCAGCAACTTTTGGATGAATATCCTAAATGTTTTATCGTCAACGCAGATAATGTGGGTTCCAAACAGATGCAGCTGATCAGAGCAGCTCTCAGAGGAAAAGGAGGTAGGTTACAGGACCAATTTATATAAGAGAAAAAGACAGTTAGGAGATCTGACCTTTCTCTAAGCTTCCCACTATGATGAAGACATCCTGTTGCGAGTTTAATGTACACCAGTGTTAGAACCAGAAATGGTTGAACCCACTGACACTGACATTATGCCAAGAACAATAACTCTCCCTCGAGGATGTCTGAGTGGGATAATAAAAAAAAAGATTTCATGGTAGATCTTGAACTATAAGTCTCAAAAACATATTTTGCCAGTAATTTGGTTAACAAGACAAAAAACTACTTGCTGTTAAATATTTGATCTCCCTGATATGAAACCAGAGGGATATTTCCAGTAATATACTTGGAGGCTCTCGCATGTTATATTCAATAAATAATCAGTTATTCAATTGAAGGTATATTTCAGTTGCACTGATTGGTAATAACACAGCTTAAAAGGAATACAGTAGTTGGACTATGTGTTCAGTAGATTGACCAATAGGATTTCAAGATACATCATTTAATTTTTTTTCAGTTGTACTTATGGGTAAGAATACCATGATGAGGAAAGCCATCAGAGCTCATATTGAGAAGAACCCAGACTTGGAAAGGTAACTTTATTTTCACTTAAACGAAGAAGAAAAACATAGTTTTTAATGACTTTTCAATACATGACTTTTAGAAAAGGGGTTGAGTGAAAATATCTTGATTTGCAAGAATTTTTTAAAGAAAATTTATGATAGCATCAGATAGATAGATGAATTCTTAAAAATCCATTAAGTCAAAATTTGATCATATTCAGGTACAGAACTTTTTGATGCAATCGACCACTTTCGTGTAATGTCCTTCACCTGAAAAGTTTGTCAGTTATGACGTCATTTACCAAATAGAGGGGACTGCATGTATCCCTGCACTATTAAAGTTCATTCAAGCGTCTTCGTGATCGTCTTTATGCAGGATAAACTAGAAATAGTGTTTATTCTGTAGGTACTTCATCTCAATTCCCAAATGACAACATTGCTGATTATCAAGTATAAGAATTTTATTCGCCGAATAATTCGTGCAATATAGCATCATATTTTTTTCAACCAATCGCGTAAGATGGGAAGGAAGTGATGATGCCCATAAATGCATGAATAAGGTAGTCCTTAAGTCCAAATTATAAATATATATGTTTCTTGCACCAGACTGACCATGAAAAAATGTAGCTGAAACTTTTTTCCTGAAACCTACCTAGATTATCACTAAAACTTGGAAGGTTTTGATTTGTAAGCTGAAAGTTTAAGATAAAACTTTGCCTAACTTTGACTGTAAAATATGTCATACTTATTTCAGATTGCTTCCCTGTATCAAACAGAATGTAGGAATTGTTTTCTTGAAAGGTGATTTGATTGAAGTCCGAGACATCTTACTGGCAAACAAGGTTTGTAAGCTCACAACAATTACTCACATTGAAATAAAGTTATGGAGACGATTCTTAACTTTATAATTTGTATGAGATCATTTTGTCATTTTATGACGATAAAATAAATGTACATGTAAACAAAAAAACAGAGGAATGAATTGACATTACATGAAGATACCTGTATGAGAGGGTTTACTAAAACCTTCCGTCTGTCTTAAAACATCAGACTGTTAAATATCAATCTTGTCTCTTTTACTTCATTGGTCCTCAATTTCTGTATCGTTTTAAAATGCACCCAACAAAGAAGATATAGTATGGTGATGGATGGCCTCCTTTTTGGTTTTGGTTGTGGCATCTTGTAAATTTTTTTGTTGTTTATCTCCTTTCTCTAACCTCCTCACAATGATGAAGACATCCTGTTGTGAGTGTAATGTACACCAGTGTTAGAACCAGAAATGGTTGAACCCACTGACACTGACATTATGCCAAGAACAATAACTCTCCCTTGGGGATGTCTGAGTGGGGCATGATCATACCCTTTTACCTGCTATTGGTAGGCAGATGTATGTCGTCAAACCCTGTATTGCAATGGTAATTGAAACAGGAGACAAAAGCCTGCTATACACAATTGTTTTTTAATGGCAATTACTGAATTAGGAATACAGATCCTGCTGAATCTGTCATACTGATAGCTGGTATTAAGGTGTGATGATGTGAACTTTTTTAAGGCAGGTCCCCTTTGGACACTAGTTAAGCAGGGGATTTTCTTGAATTAAAATAATCAAAGAGGGGTATATCCCTATTACTTTTGCCAGATAAGTACATGAAGTATTCAATAGATCTTTAAAAACAAAGATCAAAGGTAGATAACTCTGAAAATTATAAAATTGTATTATGCTGCTGTATCTCATTCTGATGGTCATAATATAATATTTAAAACTGGAATAAAAGTCTAGACAACTTACACTTCTAGTATTTAAATGTTCAGCTGCAAATATTTCATGTATATCGAATAGAGAATTAATCTATCGGAAAGGGTCAGCTGGAATGGAGGGTGGAAACTCAAAAATGTTACCTGGCAATTGGTGACTTTGCCTGCCTGCAGACATTTCAAAGAGTTGTCATCAGATTAATTGTGGGCTTTCCGACTTGATATGGATGGGTCATTATGCACTAAGTACAGACAGTTGGACATTTGCTCTAAAAACTTTGATGCAATAATTACAATATTTCATATTTTTTGCGGATGCCATTAATGATGAACAGTGATTGTCTGACTTATGATGTATTCATAACTGAATCCTCTAAGAAGTTCTGAAAGGCAAATTGCAAACTTACAAATGACATTACTTAATACGTCAAAATATACAAAGTGGTAGCCTCATTTCTTGCATGTTGTGTTATTGGAAATGATTTCTTAAACATGAATTGTGCCCCTTTTAAATAAAGCATTGTCCTCTTCAACATTAAACAGCTCAGCTTCTTTAAGAATCCATATCAGCTGTCTACATTTTATTTTAAGAAATTGAAGAATCGGGTAAAACAATGTATTATTTTTCTGATCTTTCAGACCTAACCGTTATCAGCCTTAGAGGGCATCATTCTTTAATGTAAAAATATTTTGGTTGAGTCAAAATATTAAATATTTCTTGCCACATGCCATTAATGATGAACAGTAATACTATCTGAAAATTGATGTATTTATAACTTTATCCTCTAAGAAGTTCTGAAAGGCAAGGGAAGATTTTCAAATGACGCATACTGTGAATTGATTTATTTTCGTGGGTACCAATTTTTCGTGGATGAAAAAAACTTGCATTTTAGTGGATATTTGATTTCGGGTTTGGAAAAGTCCACATAAATTCCTAAATAAAATTTGAAATTCGTGGTTCCCAGGTAACCATGAAATCCTCAAAAATTGGTATCCAACAAATAATAATGAATCAACAGTAACAGCCTCTTAGGGTATCTTCTCTCCAGTAGCTATTGCTTTTCATATTATCATCATTTACATGATATATGTGACTAAATTTCCAGTTCATGAAAGTGTGTGATTTTTATGGAACTAAAGTTGCATTGCACTCTGTCAAAAATAACTTTAGAAGGTTTTAGCTGTTGTGTTTAAGCTTGATTGTTATGCTCTCACTGCTTTACATTTTTGAATTTCCAAACTATTTTAGGTATCAAGCTTGCTGATCATGCTGATGTAGATTAAATCGTAAAACAAAAGGTTTTGGTGGGGCTATTTGATATTTTATCTTTTGTTGCCATATGCAATTAATGATGAACAATTCTTGTCTGACTGATGATGTTTATCCTCTAAGAAGTTCTGAAAGGCAAATGGCAGACTTTTATATGACACATGACCACAATCGGAAATCTGTATAAAAGTTCATGCAAGATTACACTTTTGTATGTTATTTTCATATTGTCCTGTCCTATCCAATCCATTCACAATTCATTTTCGAAGTGATTCAATTACTTTACAGGATTACCAAAATTATTTATGTAAAATTGCTCTGAATGAGTGAAGAAATGATCTTTTACTGGTAGCATTCATAATTTTAATTGCTGAGGTATGGGTACTGGTTTTAGAGAAGAGATGGTAATAAAAGGAATTGCAAAGTATATGCTACATCAAAAATAACCAACAGTCTGCTGGTCTTTCTTCTTTTTGTTAACGTAGAAGGACTGAAAAAAATCTCCAAATCTGTTCTGTTGACTTTTTTTATCTAAAAATTTAAGAAATTCTGAAATTGGATTTATAGAGTGGTTGATTTTTCGTTGCTTAACCTCCAGTGGCAAATATTTCATGCATTTTCATGACAATGCTTCTGTAGATCGTTACCCCATTTTCATTCATGTAAAGACAATATTTATGTCTACAAATTTTCAGAGTGTAGATATGCAGAATAATGAGGATAAACTATTTAATTATAGGTAAAAGCCCCAGCCAAGGCAGGAGCTGTTGCTCCCTGTGATGTAAAGATACCAGCTCAGGCTACACAGTTAGGACCAGAAAAGACTTCTTTCTTCCAAGCTTTACAGATTCCAACCAAGATTACCAGAGGAACCATTGAAATTCTGGTAAGTTAAAGTACCTTAATTGGGAGGTACAGTTCCCGGTTCATTTTATTTCTTCAGCAAAGTGCTTGAATGAGAATGAGAGAGACTATATAAAAAACTTGATAGAGATGAGAGATTTCAGTGGCTTTTGAAACTCCTCTATTTAATTGTCTGTTTTACCCATCTTTCAAAGTACATAACGAAAGGTAGTTTAATTTGTGAAAATTTTATATCTTCAACACATGACTAAAAGCTCTCAGAATGCAGGATTTTGCTTGAAAAGAGGGGGGGGGGGGGTTGCAGTGCTCACTAGTGATACTACTTTGAAATACTGAGAAAATGTTTAATACTACTGATAGACTGAAATAGGAGTAAATGTCTCTGAATACATAGAAAAAGTTTTACAGGGTCTATTTCAGGATAAAGAGAAATTTTGTACTCTTTGTATGTAATGATTAAGAATACTTATAACAAATAAGCACACTTGTATTTTATGCGTGAATTACACACTATGCTATGTCTGTTGTAAATAATGTTCTTTCATTAATAAAACTTGTAGAATGAAGTGAGTTTGATCAAAGAAGGAGACAAAGTTGGACTTTCCGAATCCACCTTACTCAACATGTTGCGCATCTCTCCTTTCTATTATGGATTGTTGATTCAACATGGTTAGTATTATTAGCAGAGGCAGATAGGGGGGGGGGGCTCTCTTATTGAGCTACATATGTGATAAATGATTTTTAGCAAGTTTCAGATCTGAGGATTAATATTAAAACAAAGAACTTAGTAGATATCTGATGTTTGATAAAAAGTATTTGTTTAAGTTTGAAATAGTGATAAATGAGAGAACATCAAAACAACATTGGGAAGAAAACATATGACATTTAGAGTATAACATATATAACATCACATTAAAATTAATCATGTAAGGGAGATAAAAAGCTATTAGTGAACATTTTTGAAATGTTGATTCTTCATATGTAGTCAGCAGTTTTATGTGCTTTGATTCGTTTGTGGTTAATGACAAAGGTACAATATTTTAACCAGTCATTTATATTGAGATACAATTTGTTTGTAGTATATGACAATGGTACAGTTTCTTAACTAGTCTTTTATAATGAGATGATTTGTTTGCAGTGTATGACAATGGTTCAGTATTTTAACAGGACTTTTATAATGAGATACAATTTGTTTGTAGTGTATGACAATGGTACAATTTTTGAACCAGCAATTTTGGATATTAAAGATGAAGACCTTCGTGAAAGATTCATGCTGGTATGTTCAATAATTTACACTGAAAACTTAAGATATGGGGAGTGGTGGGATCAACATAATCAGAACAAAAAAAATACAAGTAAAGGTTTGATGGGACATCTATTAAATATTTTTTATTCGGTTGTGCAATAAGAACACTTCATTTGGAATTTTAGATCCATGCATGTTATTTTCTTGTTTTCATTTGCCAAGCTGTTTTTCTGGACCAATAGGAAAGATATAATCCATAGGTTTTTTTTTACCAACCCTGGTAACAGAAATTTTCCTGGAAACTTTGTTATAAACAATGCCATAATATCTGTTCCTGTTTGGGGAAAATGTTCTATTCTCTTTAATCCAAGCAGAACAAATACTGTTATATTTATTCCAGTCAAAATAATATTTCAGAAAATTTCATGACATCTACAGTTGGCATGATTACTAGAAATTTAGAAGAAATACTTTTGTTAAAGATATAAATTTTATTTACAGGGAGTAAGGAATATTGCTGCCTTATCTCTGATCATTGGATACCCAACTGTAGCTTCAGCTCCTCATTCTATGGCTAATGGATTTAAGAGACTCCTGGCCATTGCTGTAGGAACAGACTATACATTCAAACAAGCAGAGAAGGTAAAGTTATCAAACTACTGTAAATTCAGAAATTATTGCGATGTTTTTATTATTGCGAAAAATGCGACAGGGTTATAATCGCAATAATTTAAACTCGCATTTTGAAATTTTTTATGTGAATTAAACAGGAATTTTCTCAATATCGCAAAAATTAAAATCGCATTTTAGTCTAAAATGACAAAATCGCAATAATAAATGCACGCAATAATTTGTGAATTTACAGTATCTTAATAGTGACAATGTTGGTCATTATACTAGTAAGAATAACTAGTACAAACTGGTAGGAGATTATAAAATGTAACACCGTCAATGTGTGCTGTGAGCAGGTTTTCATATTTTATAGGTGTTCAGCATTTGATCAAACAGTAAAACTTGACTTTTTTGGATTTGTTAACATTAGATGGGTAAACCAAATAATTCTTGTATTAAATTCATGTCCTGAAACACATTTTGGAACCCATATAAATTTATATGTTCATGTTAATTGTTAAGATGCGCACACCTAAATAAGTTCTATTTTTATAAGTATAATATATATAAATATATTATTGTGCGTTTATTATGAGAGGAGAAATTGCATTACGACAATCCAAGATGAGGGGTCAGTAGAAGCCTTTGGCTTATTTTAAGGACCCGAAGATAAAGGTATAAAGGTATTCACGAAGGCTTAACACACGAGTCATTCTTCTCACACGAGTCATTCTTCTCACACAAGTCATTCTTCTCACTTATCACGAAAATACTTGCCAATTGTCACCAATAAAAATGATATCAGCATATATGCCTTGATAAGTAGTATTAAATTGGATGTAATTTCATTATTCATTCAAAGTCCGGGGAGAAGGAGAAAATCTGTAAAAAAAATCTTGATTGACTAGGATTGTCAGTTTTCCTATGGAGGGTCATTAGTTCTCCAGGCACTCCCGCTTACTCCACCAATAAAGATTGATTGCCACCAGATAGCCAATAGTGCTGAAAGTGGTGTTTAACCCTATCAACCAATATAAAATTGCAGATGGAAAAAACAAAATTTTGTCTTGAGAAATTTACATTTTTTCCTTCTTTTTTTTAGACTAAGGAGTATCTGGCTGATCCATCTAAGTTTGCTGCTGCTGCTCCAGCGGCTGCCGCCCCAGCTGCTGGTGGTGGTAAAGCAGCCACCAAGAAGGAAGAGAAAAAGGCTGAGCCAGAATCTGAATCTGATGATGACATGGGATTTGGACTCTTTGACTAAATGTCTAGAAATTAACTTTCTACAACAGTCATAATGCGAAAAAAGTGTTTTTCATGAAATTAAAAAGTTATGAAAATTTGCTTTCCCTTGATTAGCTGTTTTAAAGCCAATTTTAAGATTTTTGTTCAGAATGTTTTGAATTTTTATCTTGCCTTGACGGAGTCAAAAAGCGAGACATAGGAATGCTGTTTCCGGCTTGGGCGTCAACAATGTATAAGTTTGTGATTAGGTCTAGTTCATGGTGAACCACTAGTGGTAGGTCAATGATATTTGGTATGCAGTTGTATAAGCACTGGCATATCTCATTTCCATGGAGATTATTTGGCTCTGCCCCCTTAGTCATGGTCTATAGACTTTGAAAATTTTGCTAAGTTAACATGTATTAGTTTGTGATTAGGTCAGTTCAAGGGGAACCATTAGTGGTAGGCCAATGTTAATTAGTGTTCAGTTGTTTAAGCATTAGCACATCTCATTTCCATGGAGAATATTTGGCCCCACCCCTGATCATGGTTCATTGACTTTGAATATTTGCATAACTTACATGTTAAAAGTATTGCTATTTTAATTTTAACATTTGCATTATCAAAATTTCAAAAAGACGAGACATATCTCTGTGATAACAGTTTATTAATATTTTAAACTAGTTTTGTTTCGCCTGTGATGAATGCTAGACATTGGGATTGCTATTCAGTGAAGGCATCGTAAACTATTTGTATAAAGCATTTTTGTCGAGCCTGCGACTTTTGTCGCAGAAAGCTCAACATAGTGATAGTGATCCGGCTACGGCGGCGGCGTTAGCTAACTTCTTAAAAGCTTTATATTTTAGAAGGTAGAAGATCTGGATGCTTCATACTTTGTATATGGATGCCTCATGTTACGAAGTTTCCGTCAGTCACATATGTCCAATGTCCTTGACCTCATTTTGATGGTTCAGTGACTACTTGAAAAAAAAGTTGAGATTTTTTGTAATGTTAAATTCTCTCTTATTATAAGTAATAGGATAACTATATTTGGTATGTGCGTACCTTGCAAGGTCCTCATGCCAGTTGGACAGTTTTCACTTGACCTCGACCTCATTTCATGGATCAGTGAACAAGGTTAAGTTTTGGTGGTCAAGTCCATATCTCGACTACTATAAGCAAAAGGTCTAGTATATTCGGTGTATGGAAGGACTGTAAGGTGTACATGTCCAACTGGCAGGTGTCATCTGACCTTGACCTCATTTTCATGGTTCAGTGGTTATAGTTAAGTTTTTGTGTTTTGGTCTATTTTTCTTATACTGTATGCAATAGGTCTACTATATTTGGTGTATGAAATGATTGTAAGGTGTACATGTCTAGCTGGCAGGTGTCATCTGACCTTGACCTCATTTTCATGGTTCAGTGGTCAAAGTAAAGTTTTTGAGTTTTGGTCTTTTTTTCTAATACTATATGCAATAGTTCAACTATATTTGGTGTATGGAAATATTTTATGATCTATATGTCAGTCACGCAGGTTTTAATTGACCTTGACCTCATTTTCAAGGTTCATTGCTCAGTGAAGTTTTTTGTGTTTTGGTCTGTTTTTCTAAACTATAAGCAATAGGACAATTATATTTGTTGTATGGAAGAATTGTTAGCTGTACACGCCTGCCTAGCATGGTTCATTGGTCAATGTTTAGTTTACTTGGTTAATGTTAAGTTTATGTGACAGTTGTAATATAGCTTTATATTTAGGACTATCAACATAATATCAATGATTAGTAAAGAAGGCGAGACATTTCAGCATGTGCACTCTTGTATTTAGAAGGTGGAATACTTTGTATGCAGATACCTTTGTCCGTTTTCCTTGACCTCCTTTTCATAGTTCAGTGACTGATTTAAAAAAAATGTCTGACTGTCAGGATTCATCTGACCTTGACCTCATTTTCATGGTTCATTAGTCTTGCGTTAAGTTTTGGTAGTTTGGTGTATGGCATGATTGTAAGGTATGCATGTCTGTTTGGCAGATTTTAACTGACCTTGATTGTATGGTTCATTGGACAATATCAAGTTTTCATGATTTTGTCAGTTTATCAGATACTATAAGCAATAGATTAACTATATGTGGTGTATGGCAGGATTCATACTCTGACCTCATTTTTGTGATGGTTCTTCGGTCAGTGTTAAGTTTTCGTAATTTGGTCCGTTTCTCAGATGCTACGTTTGGATAAGCATTGGATTAACTAGATTTGTTGTATGGTATGATTGAAAGGTGTACATATCTGCCTTGTAGGGTTCCTGTTTACATAGAACACTAATGTTTAGTTTGGCAATATGAAGGTAATGAAACCTTCATATTCAACATGTCTAATGTTATCTTCCATGCAACATGGGGATTAAACATCAAAACTGATTTACTTTTATTTTTTTTTAAGTACTTCACCCATTGAGACCAGATGCCAAAACCATAGTATTGACTTGTTTGATATTTGCATTTGTCATATATAGTAAATCAGTAAACCTCTTTATGAAATATAATGATATAAAACTATATTTTAGGTGACTGGTGTAGTACACCAATCAAAATATCTTTTTATGCCCCCCGCCTTAGTGGAGGGGGCATTTAAGTTTTACCCTTGTCTGTCTACATCCATCCGTACGTCCTGAAATTGGTTTCTGCTCTTTAACTTTAGTTTGCCTCAACCAAATGTTATGAAACTTATACACAATGCTTATTACCACAAAACTCAGATAAAGTCAGATTTTGGTTAGCGTCACTTTTACAGTTCTCAAGTTGTGTCCCTATTCAACGTTATAGTCAAGCGGGGACACCATCTGTCCCATGGACACATTTCCCATTTATTTTACATAAAATGAAGGAAGATCTATCTAGCATATAAATGATAAGCAGATCCTGCTCCACGTGGGACCCTTAGTGTTGCTTTTGTAAGTACAAACCTGGTAACAAGTCTTAATTTGGTAGGTCACATTCATGGAAAAGAGGACAGAATTGTAATTACGATATTTTGAACATAATCACTATCATCTGTGAAACGGATATTCCATAAGGGTCAACCAACTAGTTATGGCGTCCGTAAAAGTTTTGAAGGGATGATTTCAACTTCACCACTTGGAAGGCTTGTTTAATAGCTTCCTTGTGAGCAGCTACCCTCTATCAAGGAAATGCAAGCCCTGGAATATAGTATCAACTGGGAAATATATACTCTGTATGTAGGCGCTGCTAGAATGTTGCTACATAGGAATGGAAAGTTTACCATTAGGAAGCTAAAATCATCTCTTTTGTCGTAAAGTTTTGTTTTCAACCTAGCTCATTGTCAATTTCTAGATGTAAGTCGAGATATGTGGCAGACTTAACTGTATTTGTTGTATCCTTTTATCTCAAGTTCGATGGGATAGATGCGTTCAACATAGTCATCAAATTTTGAATTATTTAGTTGAGAGAAAGTCATCGATCTATATAGCAGAAAGTAAAGTTAAAGGATACTAGTAACTTTTATCTTTCTTACAAGTTCCTGTATGAAGTCCGATTCATATGAATAAAGGAAGAAGAGGGCACAGTTGGTTCCCATGGGGATGCTGATTGTTGAAAAACACGTCCTCCAAAAGAAACAAATATGTTGTCAATCAAGAAATCAAGCATCTTGTTATAGGAGTTATTGCCCTGAAATGACAAATTTCAATAATTTTTTTCCATTTTTGCCTATCATACTGAGATCTGAAGATGAAAGAAACTTGAAATGTCGAAATGATCAGCAAGATATCTACATCAGCTTGGCCGAAATCATCTGATAACTCCTTATAAGAGTTATTGCCCTTGGATAACGATTCAGTTAGCCATTTTTATGCCCCTGCCGTAGTGGAGGGGACATTAAGTTTAACCCTCATGTCTGTCCGTACGTCCCAAAATTGGTTTTCGTTCTCTAACTTTAATTTTCCTCAACCAAATGTTATTAAACTTGTACACAATGCTTATTACCACGAAACACAGATCAAGTTTGAATTTTTGGAGGCCTCACTTTTACTGTTCTAGAGTTATGCCCCTTTACAAATGGAAAAATTGCTGAATTTTTTGTTTCAGTTCTCCAACTTCAGTTTTCCTCAACCATTGTTACCAAATGTTAATTATGAAAGTTAAACACAACGCTTATTACCACAAAACACAGATCAAGTTTGAATTTTTGTGGCGTCACTTTTACCGTTCTAGAGTTATGCCCCTTTACTAATGGAAAATTTGCTGAATTTTTCGTTTCCATTCTCTAACTTTAGTTTGGCTCAACCAAATGTTATGAAACTTTTACACAATGCCTATTACCACAAAACGCCGATCAAGTTTTAATTTTGGTGGCGTCAATTTAACTGTTCTATAGTTATGCCCCTTTAAAATTGGAAAAATTGCTAAATTTTTCGTTTCCGTTCTCTTACTTAAGTTTGCCTCAACCAAATGTTGTGAAACTTGTACACAATGCTTATTACCACAAAACACAGATCAAGTTTGAATTTTGCGGAGTCAACCGTTCTAGAGTTATGCCCCTTTTCAAATGGAAAAACTACTGCTTTTTTCGTTTCTGTTTTCTAACTTTAGTTTGCCTCAACCAGATGTTATTAAAACTATACACAATGCTTATTACCAGAAAATATCTTATTACTCAGATCGAGTACAAATTTTAGTAGCGTCACTTTTACCGTTCTTGAGTTATGTCCCTTTATAACATTGTATGCAAGCGGGGGCATCATCTGTGTCTCATGGGGACACATTCCCCATTTATTTTTTTGTGTTTTTGCCAAATATAGTACAAAAATTCTTCTCTTAAAACTATTGGGGTATTTAGATTTAAAACGTGTCTGATAACCCGTAATGGACTTACTGCCGTTTGAAGATATTTTTTACCATTTTTTTTTTTTTTTTTTAGTTTTTGTCTATTATCTTTAAAAGTATAATAAATACAAATGTAGACAGAATCTTTAAAAAGGAAAAATGACAGGACAAGATCTTCAAATATGTCAACATGACTGAAATTGTCAGTTACCTCTTTCTAGAGCTTTTGTCCCTTCATGATGATTTTTACCAAAAAGTGGCCATACTTGAAGATGAAAGTGAGCGACACAGGCTCTAGTTGAGTTCTTGTTCCTTTTAAATATCAATGTTGACAGGTTTTTGGTCGTTATTTTGAATATCAGTAGCTAGGTAAAAAGTAAATTGCAAAAATGATCGACGTAACAAAAGGTGAATAGTGCAATTAAAGGTCTTAATGCACCAAATTTTGACCAGTGAGTCTTCTGAACATTACACATGACCATAAAACCAGTTATTAAAAAAAATAGAATTGTAACAACAGAATTTTTGAGTCGCGAGATGACGGGATTAGCAATCCTGAATCCAGTCGAACAAATGTGTTTCTGGTTCTATCAAAAAATATTAAAAAATGTAATAAAAATTATCTATTTATTAGCTCACCTTGCCCAAAAAGTGGAGTGTGAGCGTTCATTTGACTTCCATCGTCCCTTAACTTTACATGGATCTTCTTTGAAACTACTAAGCAAAAAAAAAATGCAATCAAACCGGCAAGCCCCTATTCCCGGTACTGCGCCTAAACACTTATACTGAAGTACCATGAGAGATTACTTTGAGACACGGTGTACCATATGACATTGTATGAGGAAACAAAAATGTACCAAGATACAAGTTTTGTCAAATTTGACGTTAGGAGCAGGAGCTTGTTCACACTTGACTATAATACATAGAGGTAACTATAAATGTCAAAAACGATCAGCAGGACATGATCTACAAATAAGTTAGCAGGGCCTTGAAATGGTTTGTCAATTTTTGTTTTTTTTTATTTTAAAGAAACTACAGCGAATAAATGGAACTGAACAACAATATTGATCAGCAAGACAAGATCTACATTTAATTCAACATGGCAGAAATTGTCAGTTTCCTATTGTTATGAGTTATTGCCCTTGAATGGTTATTTTTTAACCATTTTCTGTGATTTTTTTGGGTAAACGATCATAGATTGAGAAAAAGTATAAAAAGCAAAAGTTATCAGCTGGACACAAAACTACAAATCAGTAAACATGTCTGAAACCGATAGTCTACTCTATATAGAGTTAATACTCTTGGCGGATGATTTTACATGCTTTTGGCTTCTTTTTTTTTTTTTTTTTTTTCTTTTTTCTAAACTTTACCCTTGTTGCACTTCGGATTAATACTTAAAACATTCTAATTATTTCCCGGTTGAGAATAATGTTACTGCATGTCTATAAGATGTGATTACGTACTTTTGAATGTACCAAGAGGAGGTAACAGAAAATCTTAATATCACATGACATTATATTCCACACTTAGTGTTAACGCTCTTATTATTCAACCAATTAAATCAACGCTATCTACCTATGCCAAAAATGTGAAACAGGTGATTAAACAGGACCAGTCACTAATAATGACTTCTGATGTCCTTAATGAAAATGAATCCCTTTTTAGTATTTAATGACTCTTAAATATAAAATCTGTCTAACATTTCAAAGTTAAAAATTATTAATAAGTAACCTGCATGTACAAAGGTATTTCATCCCATCCCCATAATATAAAGTTTGTTCAATTGTTGTCAAAAGAACAGTTTATTTATGTTTGTAAACTTGGCTTTGCACAAGTGACACTGATTGTTTCCCTTTTGTAGTTCTTGTGCGTCTTGCTCACAAACTGTATGACCACAGGGATATAGGTAGACATCCACTGGTCTGTCTAGACAAATACTACAGATATTGCCTGATGAAGCTGGTGTTGGGGTTTCACTGAAAAAAAGGGATATTTAGATACAAAGAGCTAATAATTTTGAAAATAGATATATTTGATATGTTAAATAATGTTGATATGTTAACTAGACAATATTAAGTACAAAAAAGTATAAAGAAAATCGTTACGGTATTGCGAGTTAACAAGAAACGTGTTAAAATTGAGCTTATGATTCAAGGCAAACATTGCATTTTTTTTGAAACTGCATAAAACTGATCTTTACAGGTTTAAATCGAACGAAACCTGTTTACATAATTTATAATTTTTGTTTCTTTTCTCCTATTTTATAGTTTGTTCTTACGTGGTGCAGTTACACCATATTCTGTATGTGCCAAATCAAGCGCCTGTAATTCAGTGGTTGTCGTGTGTTACTGTATAACGTATTTGTTTTGCGCTTATCATTTTCTACAAAAATCAGGCCGTTAGTTTTCTCGTTTGAATCAAGTGAAGCCCCACCCACCCAGATCCCTTGCTTATAATTTATTTTCCAGTGGCTACGTCACTGAAATATTATCTTCCTTCAAATCAACTGTTATTAATCTCGCAGAAATGTTTGGTTAAAAAAAAAACACAAATAGGCCTACATAATAACAAAGTATGGCCGATTATTTTCAACGACTGTACCTTACTGACTGTATTTATACCTTACCGACTGTATTTATACCTTAATGACTGTATTTATTTATACTGACTGTATTTATACCTTACTGACTGTATTTATACCTTTCCGACTGTATTTCTTCTTACTGACTGTATTTATACCTTATCGACTGTATTTATACCTTACCGAATGTATTTATACCTTAATGACTGTACTTATTTATACCTTACTGACTGTATTTATACCTTAACTGTATTTATACGTTACCGACTGTATGTATACCTTACCGAATGTATTTATACCTTAATGACTGTATTTATTTATACCTTACTGACTGTATTTATACCTTACCGACTGTATTTATACCTTTCCGACTGTATTTCTTCTTACTGACTGTATTTATACCTTATCGACTGTATTTATACCTTACCGAATGTATTTATACCTTAATGACTGTACTTATTACTGACTGTATTTATTCCTTTCTGACTGTATTTATACCTTACATTCGCCTTCAAAGACCTTGAAACAGACTTATAATCACTCTTACCTGTTCATGTATTGCTTGTTTAGTTCGATACAAAGAGTTGCAACCCATGTAGTGCCCGCTTTACTCGTGAGTTGAAGAGCGTGAGATAAGGCGAACACAAATCCCTGAAAATCTGCTTCTTGAAATCGAGAGAAAGGGTGATCACCATGTTTGCCACAGTCCCAACGCCATACACAGACCTGTCCGTAATGCGCTGCCTTTCCTTGTATTGTTTTACTGCATTTCATGAAACCAGTCTGGGCAAGCTGTATCACAGAATTGTCTTCACCACAAACCCATTTGCACGGAATTCTTCCTCTTGAAATATAAAAAGAACAGTTTATAAGAAATTCTCTTTGAAGATGGTGGTTTAAGTTTTCCTTAAAGCTGTAATAAAAAAAAATGTCGAATAGTAACAGAGAACTCAACATGTACGCGAAAAATGATCTTGTATAACTAATCCTTCGGTAACATATAGTCATTTCTAAATGTTTCCCCACTTTAACTGTGGTAATGTTTGGATAGGATTAGGAGAAAGAATTTGTCACATTAAAATCGACTAAGAACATTCACCACACGCCGCATTCAAAAATAATATTCGGAAAGACGATCGAGAGGCACATTTGCTTTTTAGTTTATATACTTTTCAAACTTTTACAGGCTTAAATTTTATTGATTAATTTGGGGAAAAAATACAAACATATTTACATATTATGCAAATACAGGCAAAACAAATTCATATAGGCTCGGTATTATTAAGAAGCCCTAACCTCAGTTGCTCCTACCATACCATTAGACCAGCCAAATTTACCATGTCGTGCGAATGATTTAAAAGAAAATCCGTTAAAACCAGATTCCTAAATGATAAAGAAGAATAATGAGAGAGAGATAGAAAAGGAAAGAAAGAATATTGTGTGGGATATCAAGCCAAATTGAATAAATAAACGGACAAAAATAAATGTGAATTTCGTAAGTTTTCGAATCAATTATTGAACTTGTTTATTGTATATGAGGACAAGCCAAATTTGAATAAACTTTTCATTCTAATGAAATTTTTTTTTCTCTCTTCAAAATAACGCGAATGATGAAAATAACTCTTATGTACATTGTATGCGTCTGACGCGCTTTTTGTATTTTCCTTCAGGAACGCTCAAAGACAAACAATTGAAAGCCAAGGACTGTAACAATGTGTATATATATAAGTGTCGAAACAAGTGTAGAAATATTGACCAAAATAAAAGTTGCGTAAACAAAATTGTGTCTTCGAATCTTGTGATGCACACTTATATAAAGACTTACCCCTCACATCCTTTTACTGGACATCGAAGTTCATCAAGTACATGCCAGTTTTCCATTTTGATTTATTTCAAAGTGTGGATAACGTGTAAAGTATTTTTTATTTAGTATCAATCGCACACGGCAAAAATTTCCACGAGAAGAATGTTTTATTTCTATAGAAAACTATCCATAGTTAAGATATATATCATTTCTTAGTATAGCACATGATGAAAAACATAAGTATATTTTCGAAATCGACATTTCCAATTAATAAAACGAATAACTACCCAGCAGGCACAACAACGTTGATTCAACATTGAATAAACGTCAGATTTCAACGTTGAATCAATGTTGAAAAGTAGTGTTGGATTGAAAATTGATATGACGTTGAAAACATAACGTTGATTCAACGTCAGCTTTCAACGTTGAAAATAGGTTGAATTTTGGTCTAAATTTGGTCAGTGTATGTTGAAAAAAAGTCGATTGCTGGTTGAATTGTGGTTAGTGTATGTTGAAATCAGGTCGAATGTTGGTTGAACTGTAGTAAGTGTACGCTGAAATCAGGTCGAATGCTGGTTGAACTGTGGTCAGTGTATGTTGAAATCAGGTCGAAAGCTGGTTGAACTGTGGTCAATGTATGCTGAAAACATGTCGAATGTTGGTTGAACTGTGGTCAGTGTATGTTGAAATCAGGTCGAAAGCTGGTTGAACTGTGGTCAGTGTATGTTGAAAATAGGTACGATTTGGGTCCAGGTAGACTGTTTTAGGGTTAATTCAAGTTGAAACTAGAAATATGGTCAACGCTCATTTCTGAATCTGATGATTATTATTCAAGACTTGACAAGAAGAACAGGAACAATTTTAACCATGTTAACCTTACCAGGCATAGATAATCGGAAACTTTATTGTAATGTCAGTTGGCATATATTTTTGTAACTTTGTTTTTCTTTATAGACAGGATCTTGGTGTGCTTATAACTATTCTGTTTATACACAAAATATGTTTGTGACATAAAACAGTAATTATATAACAAGTTGCTCACATATGCATCTTACAATTTTAAACAAACACAAACTGAACAATTAATTTTATTTAAAAGTTTAGTCCTACTACTAGACACATTCCCAGATATAACAGGGGCATATTTTAGGTATCTTGCACAGTAGTTCCATATTGTGGTCTCTGTTGCACATTAGTCACTTGTAACTACAGCATCTGCAACAGAAAAAAAAACATATTGTGCTATCTTTATCATAACTTCGTAAATATCATTATGCAGCTCTAATAAAGAATACTACTGTTATATGTGAACAAACTAGATATCATTGAGATGGGAGCCATCTCTGTGGGCCCCGTTGTGAATAATGGTGTTGGTTAATATACATGTCAAGTATAAACTTTGAAATCATAAAGGTTCTCTAGATATAGAGAGGACACAATGTGTTACGGACGGATATAGAGAGGACACAATGTGTTACGGACAGACAGACGGACAGACAGGCGGGGACCTAATAATCTCTGTGCAATGCTATTGTTATTTCTTTAAATATCTATTGAGAGCGACCATGTGTTTTTTTTTAACTTGAGTTCAGACATGAGAAAATAAAAATATTTCTAAAAAAAAAACAAAGATTTTAGAGACAAAGTGACAAAATCTCACACAATTTGTAATATGGAAAAACAATGATATATATTATTTCAATACTCACTTCTTATTATTTCAAACTAGCCTGAATCACCGAAGACATGTTTATTCTTTATACCCGGTAATATGTAATTTCCGACACGGGTTTATTTGTAAGACATCTACAAAAAAAAATTTTAAGTGCAGCATTTCTAAATTGTCAACTCCCTCTTTAACTTGAAAATAAAAAGTTTCATATGTGTGAAACGCTTACAAAATTTTGACTTCCAAAACCTTTCATAAATTGTTTGAAAACCTTATGGTTCAATTATTTTTATTGTAGCATGACGTTAAATTTGACCTCCATAATCAAACAAGATTCTGGAATCAGTAGCGGATCCATAAATTTTCATAAGGGGGTCCACTGACTGCATAAGGGGGCCGCTCCAGTCATGTTTCATTAATTCCTTATATAATCAACCATTTTTTCCCTCAAAAGGGGTGCCCGGCACCGTCCCCAGCTCTGCCTCTGAGAATCAAGGGCTTTAATTATAACTTATTTAATCCTAAATTATAGTTTGAAGATCTTACAATACTCTAATGGGGTTTCAATTTTATTTATCTTGACCGTCACTTATCTTGAGAAACAATAATGCACCACAGGCAACAAGATCTTGACAGTCACTTATCTTGAGAAACAATAATGCATCACAAGCACCGAGATCTTGACAGTCACTCATCTTGAGAAACAATAATGCACCACAAGCACCGAGATCTTGACAGTCACTCATCTTGAGATACAAAAATGCACCACAAGCACCAAGATCTTGACAGTCACTCATCTTGCGAAACAATAATGCACCACAAGCACCGAGATCTTGACAGTCACTCCTCTTAAGATACAAGAATGTCCCTATATATACTTTTTTTTTAGTGTTTCGGCTGATATATAAAGCTTTGGATGGTCATCTTAAGATGCTTTACTTTAATATAATTCAAAATAAATATTATTCCCGTATAATTAACTATATTAATATATTTTTACATCTAAATTCTTCATCAGTAGATGGTTTCGGCATTGTTGCTAAACGCAAGAAGTAGTTCAACTTTGAACCTGTGTTTACATTTTTCTTCAAACTTCAATAAATTCCAGTCTTTTGTGTTACGTCTTATTTAAGTTTACGTTAACATGCATATGGATTAAGTTTTTTAGATATTGAAACTTAAGGAATATTTTCTATTTCCTTGATTTTTTTGCGCTGTAATACTTCAATACGGTCAACTGAAAGAACATCTATTTCGACGTTATCATATAAACCACTTTGAAATTAGTTAGATCATTGTGTATTAATTTGTTATGGTCACACATGTTTCTTATAGCTTAAAAGTTCTTCTAAATACTTGAACACTCCTTACATAAAAACGTAAATGATTTTTTTTTGTATTCATGACGATGTTTACTATTGCAAATTTCTTAAAAAAAGATGCCTTATAAATAATTTGAAAAATGTTCTAACCTTAATCGACAAACAAATGTAGCCACCATTACCACAATAACAAACAAGGAAACTAACAAGCCTATGATCAAACCTGAAAAAACAACAATGCGAATGTATCACTTCGACAGAGACATCTATGGCTTAAGGGAATTAAATTTGTGTTTCGTTTAATGTGGTTGCTTTTTCATTGACGGATACTTCATATCTTCGTTATTCATATTTTGCAATTACTGAGTTTTCTTTTCTTCTTTTCGTGTATATGGTGTCATTGTTATGTCATTGTGAGTTTTAAGAATATAACATATATTGCATTGATAAATTGCATAATGTCCATTCAGTTTAGTCATTTGTGTAACATTGCTGTTAATATGTTGATATAACAATTTAAAGAGCATAAGCGTTGCTGAAAAAAAGAATACCTGTATACTGGCTGCTGGAACTTTTTGAATTTCTGCTAGTTGTACTTTGGATTAAACTTATTTTGGAAGATTCTGTTACGTCTTTATTAGTCGCATCTAGGCTTTTTACAGTGGTGAATATCATATTATAAGTTATTTTTGTTATTGATATTAGCGATGGTGTTACTATAGATTTGCCAAAATGATGATAACTTAATGTAGGTGAAAAATCCGAGCTTCCTATGCTAGACTGTATTGCAAGGCTGCTATCTGTCCATATTTTCGTTGAATACGAATTTTCACGAGGGCTCGTCGATATATGCTGTAAAGCCATAGTGCTAGATTCTAGCGCTCCTTCGATGGTTGTTGCAAAAGACATTGTCAAGCTTTGTTCTTCTAAAAATAGAACGAAGTGTGTTTGTATTATATAAGCTTAACGATTTGTTTATAGATATGAATGCTCATCTTGGGATATGAAAGAGAGAAAGAGAAAGACAGAGAGAAAGAGAGAGAGAGAGAGAGAGAGAGAGAGAGAGAGAGAGAGAGAGAGAGAGAGAAAACTTAACAGTACAAAAAATTGAATTAATATCCTATATATAACTTTTTTATCGTTGTAAAAAGTTTGCACATAATATGATATTACCAGGTTTGACTTGATCAGATTTATGTCCAGATACGCAAGCAAAACCATTTAGCTGTTGTTTACAGTCGTCAGTATATTTTATGTCCTGTTCATCAACTGTCGTACGATCTGTACATCTAATATACGAACAGTTAAACACAACTGTCGAATTAGTTAAGATCTCTAAAAAAGAAAAAAAAAACGTTTATTCACACCTTATAATATCGTTCATATTTTTGCACTTTTCCTGATGACACTAGATGACACCTTTACTAGCAAAGGCCACAGACAACATTTGAATCTTAAAAGGCATAACTTCTGAAGATTTAGAATGTATTTCTTGTCAACTTATATTTTGCGAACAAGCTATAAAGGAATTCCATTTTTTTTATTTTTTTTCTGAAACAATAGTTATTGTTGTGAACTCAGATGCACTTTAACTATAATTATTTAATGTTCGAAGAATTGGGGAAAAAGGTGTAGTAAAGACGTCTCAAGCGTCAAGACGAAGAAGTAGTTACGTGTAAAGGTAGAAAGGGTCAACTGGAGTAAAGGCATAACAGTACTTGATTTCATACATATTTCGGTGCGAATTCATAATTTTGATTACTGCATTAGGAATGACTTGTGGTTTAATATTCTCTGAGCAACGGGAATAATTCCAGATTTCTTAAAACATGTTTGATAGAACTAAAATGGTTCTCAGATATCGTGTTCATTTTAAATATTTATTGCAGCACTTTTTGAAAATTTCGTAAACTCTCAATTAAAGATTCGCTACAGTTTCTTATACTGAACAACAGTAATCCGAATGTGGAAGGAGATATCTAAAAATATTGTAAAAATAAAAGTTTCGCATTATGATTCCAGTAAATTTTCATTATATCTTTCAAGGTGACTCCATTACATAATGTAGTATGTTGGCCATTGATATATATATATATATCGATTTGTTCATTGCACTCTGAACCTATACCATTGTCTTTGTTTTTGACACATTAACTCATATTTGGTTTCACGCACCAATTACAAATACAGTATCGAATGCCTGCCTTTTATACTTTTCGGTTTTTTCGAATCACAGAAATAGTGATATCATCAGCAAAAGAATCAGTGTTATGATTAGGATTATAAAAAGGAAAATTATTCATACATATTAAGAATAATATGACCTAAAACTGACTCTTGCGGTACACCGGTTTATAATTTTGACACATCTGAAAAGTATTTCAAATGGAAACGACCTGATATCGGCCAAATACGAAGAAACCCGATGTAGTGAATTATAGGAACATTTTAAGTTTTGCATTTTTTTTCAAGAACAGTTTATGATATATATAAATTAGAAGTTTAAAAGCTTACACGGATCACGAAATACAGTCTGAACTAAATCGCTGTTATCGATGGCTTTTGTCATTTATCTATGAACATGTCATTTCACTTTGACAGGAATGGGTTTTTACATAGCCTAAATTCATGACATATAACAGATTACAATTGTTTAGAAAGTTCCTCATAAGAGTTACACATAATCCTAAGAGTTTAGATGTAAATAGTATAATTGTCATAGGTCTTTAACTGATCACATTTCAGTCTATGCAAAATTGCCTACAAACCGTCAAACAATGCACCACATCAGAACACGACAAAAAGTGTACCGTCATTATCCATCCTTCCTGATTCTATACCAAACTCTCTCTCTCTCTCTCGACAATCCGGATATCACAATTAAGGCAAGCGGCTTATCCGTTTTCTGAAGGAGAAAACATAATTAAAACAGCTACAGATGTCGTTCAGAAAACGTTTCAGACAGTATAAGTGTTACACCCACAACTTGATTGTTGTCTAGGTTGAAGGAGAGAACTGTTATCGTCAAAAGAAATAATTCTAAAGATAAAGAAATGTCTATATAAGAGTTCCAGAATTGAACACTTGATAGAAATTAATGTGAGCGCGATTTTACGAAATCTACCAGGCGGTCGCGCTCCGCGATTTGACGCTTCAGATCGTAAAAAATCACGGAATAATAAGCACCAGTTTTTCACCAGAACAATAGTCACATGAGTCCGCACTCAATGAAGAAAGCCCGGCTCACTTTTAAAATGATCATTCTTATTCTTATATTTAAATAAAGCTGGCTTGGTAATAAGGAAACTGTCAATCACAAATTAAACATTTTACATTATTTGTCTATCATTGCAGTTAGTGAAGAACATTCAGCAAGACGGGATGAAACTTCCGTATCAGGTTATACTTGATTTGGTTACACTAGGAGGGACATGCATCGAAACCAAACAAAAGTTTCTGGTGCATTATGGATCTAGATTAAAAAGTTTATTTTGAAATGTTTCAATGTTACAGCAATAGACTTGTGATTCAAAAGAATTCTTGGAATCAAACAATGAACATATTTTGTGATAACGAATTTATTATCGTTATAAAAATAAAAAGATGTGGTAAGATTGATAAGTTTCCATGTGAGACCAAATATCGTAGAAATTAGCAATTACAGATCACCGTAGGACCTTCAATAATGAGTAAGATCCATATCGCATAGTAAGCTATAACAGGCTCCGCCATGACAAATGTTAATCAATTCAAACAGTAAAACTAACGACTTGAGTAATGTTAAGAAATAAACAAAAGACAGATAAATATGATATACAGCAACAAAGGACAACCACGGAAATATCTTTTTTGTCACTAACCTCCTGATTAGTTATCTCGTCAACGCGATTCTAAGAGTTTCTTTGCCAACCCACACTAACATTAATGAATTAAAAATGTAATTACATATTAATGGTTGACAAATTGGCGCCTTACCAGAAATTAAGCCAAACAGATAAAATACCGAACATAG